GCACGAACGCTCTGGCACTTTCGGGGGGATTTAAACATCCCCCCGATATATTTTTTTAGTTTTCAGATTTTTGTGCACCCCTGGGGACTGCCTCAAGAGTGCACAAAACTCTCCCTGCCCCCCAAGTGCCCCCGAAGTGCAGATATAGATATCCGCACGGAGGGGGCCACTTGGCTATTAGATATAGTGATCCAAGAACAAAATTCTAAACTTTGCTGTGATTTCCCCCCCCCACACACACAACTCTCTTCACCCTCATCCTCAAACCCAAAATTACACTCCTGGGCTTGTACCAAAGAGACTGGTGGTCCTCCTGTTTGGGAGGGAAAAACCCAGATTGTTACCCACCCTCCACCTCTGGAACACACTGGCTTGTGAATTAAAGTAAGCCCATTCTTTTTTGTGAAACCTTTCATTCCCGGTATGGCTCCAGCCCATCGGATATTTCCTCACTACATTAGCAGTGGAGCCTTTTGTGAAAGGCCCCCCCAAAAAAATAAAGCCTGCAGAACTCTGAGGTGAAATTAACGGCATTGTTTCCTTGGCTGTAATTACCACAGCTTTCTTTTAGACAAACAAAAAAAAGTCCTCCAAACATGCCTTCCTGCCCCTCCGTTCAGTAATTCAGCCTTCGACAGAAGCCGCCTCAGAACAGAGGTACATTACCAAAGGCAGAGAAAGCGCCCGTAGTTCCTTTTAACATTATGGCTAGCGGGGAGACCACGCTTGAGAAAGGAGGAAAGGAAGGGGGAGGGAAGCTAGGCTCCTCCGTCGAAGCAAGGGGCCAATATTGGTCTGGGCAGAAATAATATTTCTGAGACACATGTTGCTTTATTGGTTTCGAAGTTCTATTTATATTAAAATGAAGGGGCTCTGGTTTTGAAGGCACAGCTAGGAGTCAAGAGGGGGAGGAGATCTACAGGGAAAGCCAGTTTCGGCCCCCCAAGGCAGACATGAAGAGTTGAGCCGTGAAACACTGAGGAGAGATTTAAACATCTTTATTTCTCAGTGGTTTTTCCTCCCCCCCCCCACAAACACTTTCCCCCTTCTAAAGAAAACATACTGAGTACAATAGCAAATAATTAAAGCTACTGAAATCCTGGACCAGGACCAGAGGGGGAAAATGGAGGATGCACAATCTCGCATTCCCTCTCTATGAAATTAGTGCTGCGGTAAACACATTCTCCAGTTTCAACATCTGCATTGAAATCAGCACCTTTAGTGCAGCTTTATGAGTTCCCGAAAAGGATGTGCTCGCTTCATTAAATATTCCCATTGTATCAAGGCTGTTTGGTAGTCTTTTGTTCCTGTAGCTGCTGGCTTTGCTTGGCATCACTTACCTTCAACCTTCATTGCCCTCACTGCCCTTAGGTGGGTCTCATTTACCCAAACTGCCTTTTGATGTAATCAGCTATAATAATCCTCTTGACTTTATCCAGAGGAGTCCACATCATTAACTCCATTGTTTATGTGGTAAGTGTGCAGCGACTAGAGTGTTAGACTAGGATCTAGGAGACCTAGTTTCGAATCTCCCCTCTCCCAGGGAAGCTTGCGAGGTGACCTAGGGCCAATCCTATACTTTCAGTTTAACCAACCTAACAGAGTTGTTCTGAGAATAAAATGGA